CTAACAGCATGCATAATTTAAATATAAATAGTGATAATGTTTGTTTTTTTTCTAAAGACATGTTGTAATAGGAAGATTAAAAATATATCAATTAGACCAGGGGTTCTTAACCCTTTTCTTTCTAAGTCCCTTCCCCCCATCATGCTATCAAAATTCCATGGCCTAATTGTGCCACAACAGCTTGTTTCTCCAATCATAAAATAACAGCATGCATAATTTAAATATAAATAGTGATAATGTTTGTTTTTTTTCTAAAGACATGTTGTAATAGGAAGATTAAAAATATATCAATTAGACCAGGGGTTCTTAACCCTTTTCTTTCTAAGTCCCTTCCCCCCATCATGCTATCAAAATTCCATGGCCTAATTGTGCCACAACAGCTTGTTTCTCCAATCATAAAATACTGGGCTGGCATTAAGGGGTAAGAAGCAGAGTAATTGCTTGGGGCCCATGCTACAAAGCTAAATTGCTAAGGCTTTCAGCCCCAGGTGGTGGGATTTGGAACCTGGGCTTCAGCCCTGGTTGGTGGGGCTTCAGCTTTCTGCTTTGGGACCTAGCAAATGTAAAGCTGGCCCTGCTTGGCAGAGGCCCTGAAACCTGTTTTTGGCCTCTCACAGTTATTTAGGCATAATCATTGGTAACTGCTTTAAACTAAAAGATCATATTTTCATTCCTAATGGCTGTAGCTAAGAGAGGGAATACAATTTTTGGAGTATTCGCATGATTGCAAGGAAGGTGTATAGGTATGCCTCTGAATGCAAGACTATTACGGAATACTGTGTCCATACTTCAGAAAGTACACTGAAAAACTGAAATGAGTTTAGAGGGGAGCCACTAAAATTAGAGATATGGAAAACATGTCGTATAGTGAGATTTATTTAGGTAGTTGAAGAGAAAGTTGAGGGATGACTTCGTCTGCTAATAGGCAACCCTTTAATCTAGCCCAGGGGTCTCCAAACTTTTCAGCCCGAGGGCCGCATTAACTATCAAACAGCAGTTCGGGGGCCGACTACACACTTGAGGTCCAAATAAAAAACAATCAAAACATGGATGTTGTTTTTAATTATTTATTTAATATTATTTTATTCAGTTATTATTTAATAACACATTCATACACTACACATGAACACCTGTATTAGTGTGAATGGTGAAATTGTTTCCTGGATGCCAAAATAGCAGACATTTCTGGCTTTAGATTTGTTGTCCCTAACATCAACAGTGACCTGAGATTATCATCGGACAAGTTTGTTCTCAAATTGTTCTTCACGTATTTCATTCTTGAAAATGTTTGTTCACACAGGTATGTTGTTCCAAAGATTGAAAGGTACCTTGATGCAAAAGTTTTGACATTAGGAAAGTCTTCCTTGGGCAAAAACTGGTAAAAACCCACCAGTCCTATTTTGAACTTGTCCCTAAGGAGGTCATTTGCTTGCAACTCAATGACTTCCAGCTGCAGTTCATCTGGGCAACTGGCCACATCTGCTTCAAATGGGTTTTGAAACAATCTCACTTCTTCTGCCTTTGAATCCAAAAAGGTCTCCACGGGCCGGATGAGAGGGCCTCGCGGGCCGCATCCGGCCCCCGGGCCGTAGTTTGGAGACCCCTGATCTAGCCAAAGAGGCATAATGAGAACCAGTGATTGGAGATGGAAGTTAGATAAGTTCATACTACAAATAAGGTGCAGATTTTTAAGTGAAACAGTAACTTTCATTTTGGGTTATTTCATTTTCTGATTATTTCTGATATTTTCCTTGAATTTTCACTTCAGGCTGTGTCCTAATGTGTTTGGAAAAATTCCCTTATAGCCTGACATGGCTGCTGTTTGTCTTCTGGGCAAACTGTCAGGCCTTAAGGAGAGCTCACTAATATCGTCTTTCAGAGAATACTTTGCAAAGCAGAAGGGCAAAGTGAAGTGTAAATGTACTCCATCTGTACTCAGTACTTGAAGTGAATCTGGTCAAAAGGGATCACAGACCCAGCAAATAAAATTTCAGCGACTTGAGCTGCATCATTGAGAGATGCACCTTTTATTCCCGTTGGGCAGGGAGTGGGGAACTCCATCTTCTTGGCTAAGTAGTCAGGGTTTCTGCAAGAATCAGCAAAACTCTTCCTCCCTCTGCCCCCAGGAACTAAAATCATTCCCACAGGAGGGGATGCAGGAGAGGAAAAATTTAGCTATAGACAGCTCCATTCCTGTTCTTCCTCTTTCCTCTGGAGCAGGGACAGTTTCTCTGCTTTTCTTTTCTCTCTCTCACTGAAATATCTGGCCTGGGAAGGAGGGGAAAGACTCTTGCTGCAACCTCCACACTAGTCCTCAATGAACGGGGGGTGTAGGAACTGCAGGAAGTGAGGCTGGGTGTAGCAGAACTGATGTAGAGGCTGGAGGGGTGCAATTGATGGGGGACAGGCAGATCTTAAGTTGTTTTAATTTTTATACAAATTACAAACCATCCACTTTTTTCAAATCACTTTGAATGCTACTTGTACTGCAGGGGGGGATTCACCCCTGTGGAGGACTGGCAGAATTACCACCACCCTCTGTTAGGGTTGTGAAAAATTAACCAATTAGCATCACCATAAATGGGTAATCCTTACCAGTTCCAGTTAGCTGGTAACTGGTAGGGACTGGAGCAGTTCTTCTTCGAGAGGTCCCTGTGGATGCTCCATGTTGGGTCTTGGTGCTGTCCTGGTGCCTGGATCAGAGATTTTGAAGCAGTCCCAGCGGCAGCCAACCAGCGCATGCTTTCTAGTAGGCACTGCGCATATGTGGCCCGCATCCTCCAATTACTTCTCAACCGCCCTCAGCCTTAGATGAAGCTCTGCAGTTCCCAGCTTTTTTGATGATTCTGCAATACTTTAGATAGTTTATAGCTAGTTTCTTGTTATTGTTAGTGTTATTTAGTGAGCTTGGTAATAGTTTAAAAAAAAACACCTTTTCTTTTACATCATGCTGGGTTCGCCAGGCTTCAAATGTTGTGCCTCCTGCAGAGAAGCAGTGCCCATTTCTGACAGACTTACAATGCGTCAGATGACAGGGGAAACAAGAGTTGCCCTCACTGCACCAAACTTAAGGCCAAGACCTGCAAAGACAGAGATCTGTGACTAAAGCTGATCTTAATGGAGAAGAGCCTACATCCTGACTCAGATCTGGGAGTACAACCTAGGGAGGTATGATCACCCCCAGGTTCTGCTCACGGCAAGAAGGGAAGTTCCTCAGTGCCTCACTGGGATACTGCCGGCAAGAAACTGTTCCCCTCCAGTCAATTGGCTCACAGGTCTCGCATTAGCACATGATGCCCCTGGCACCTCAGGCATCATGGCACCACTGTCCGTTGCCACTTCTAATCACAAAGACTCCAGACAAAGCCTTAGTGCTGTACCAGTAATCTCTGCAGTACTGATGAATACCCCGGAACCATTGGATACACCACAGGTGTCAACTACAGCACCAATACAGAAAACCGTGGTACCACCACCATCGGCACCGATAGCAACA